ACCGAAAAATCGATACCACGAAGTTGTCGATATTTACTATGCGCGGGAAAATTGAAGTTGTTTTTTAGGTTATTCGTTTTGGTACGCTAAAGAAGGATAATTTCTTACGTACGTACATAAGTACACATTCCAGTTTTCTTTTTTTATAAGGGATGTTTTTCTATTCGTTTTATATTCATCTATAAAACGAATTTGGATTATTATATTTTATATCTTGAAAGTAAGGTTAAATTCATTTGATTTTGATTACTTAACAATATAACGCCTCCACAGTAACTTAATAATTAATTCTAAGTATCGTACAAGTCAAAATATATTATATTCATCTATATTAAAAATATATTATTCATATATATCATATAAAAATCATCAGGCAGGGGAAAAGAACACGTAGAAAACACGTAGAAAATGTTTTTACACGATTACATATTTTTACTCTTTATCTCGAGAGTGTTCCTAAGTTAAGTTTTTTCTTAAAGGGTTCCTTACTCACATCTATACAGATACAAACACATACAAGAACAAACATATAAATAAGTATACATACCGAAACAATATATAAAAAAAGACGACATACACCTACGCTCATACAACAAATACATATATAGATAAAAACATAAATGCATAGATACATATATACAAAGATATACTTACACATAGTTGTATTAGATAAAAATTTATAATACATACTAACATAAGATAGATACATGTGCAGTATCGTCGTGGTTCGTTCGCTGACCGTGCACTCGTGCTGGGTTATACACCACGGGTAGTATAATACTGTAGCACTATACTTTGCAGCCATTGTGAAATAACTCGTAAACCTGCAAATTGCCGGCTATTTCGCTTCCATATATACGCTCATACACACACACACACATACACACTTAACCCCTCTCCATATTATTCCACTCTCGCGAATGTAAGCTCGCTACTATCTTTTCGCGTATTCCTCGATGTGTTTCTTCTTAACACGAGAACGAGAAGAAAAAGAACAAGATAGAAATAGTATGGAATAGTAGTGAGAAGGGAGGGGGATAGGTGGAGGAGGAGGAGGAGGAGGAGTGGAACCAATGGTGATGATGGTGAGGGGTAGAAGGAAGGGAAAGAACCTTGCATGAAACAAATAAAAATACAAAGAATATTTCTGGAATAAAAAAAAATCTCCTTACCTTCTTCTTCTTCTTCTTCTTCTTTTACGTTTATGTTAGAATTCACACGCGTGTGTCGATCTTCGGGTCCACAGTTCAACTCGTTCAAAAACACACACACACACACACATATATGCATACGCATTTATTTTTACATATGTGTTGGTAGTGTATAGAGAAAAACAAGACGTAGATAATATTTTGAATTGTAGTTCGTTGTCTTAAGAAGTAGAAGTATAAAATTCATAGTAACACATATACATACATACACTTATTCACGTATATATATATATGTATATGTAATAAATAATAAATAATGAAGAATATGGTTGTGGTAGGGAAAGAGTATGTGAGACAAGGTATCGGTCTGGTTGGTTCGAATCCTTAACGTCGAGTTATCATTGTGATTATGCAAATGCATTATCATTATGCAAATGAAGAGTAGTGCGGCATGGTGTTGCAGAAGAGACGAGCGAAAAGCTTGGAACGCGATTCGTTGCTGTCCCGACTGGCACTCACTGTGCCTTTCGACGCACTTCATGCATGCATGCATGCATGCATGTATATATATGTATATGTATATCTGTGTATGTGTATAGAGTAGATATATGTTATACCTAATCGCTGTTAGAAGAGTAATTACGCGTGGAAAATAATTTTCCGCGTTTAGCATGGAAAATGATTAGGGAATAATATAATATGTGTATTATAAAATTTTGTTTAAGTGTGTTGTATCTAAAATCCGTGTAGTTTATTTATTCAATATAAATGCATTTTACGTATGTGAAAGTGCATTTATCATAATCTCACATTTGTGTATAGATGAATATTTGACATTCTACGTGTTAAAATATATTTGATCGTATATCAATTTATGTTAATAATTTTTTTTGTCTCTTTTCCTTTTTCTTTTTTTCTTTCGTTTTTTTTTCTTCTTCTTCTTCTTCTTCTGCTTCTTCTTCTTCTTTTTTTTTTTTTCTTTTTAAGTACAGTAATTATCGTTAAATTATGCCACGCGCCGGTTGCCGGTTACGTTTTATCGGAACGTTATTGTGACAATAATGGATTCGACATATTTTATGCATCATGCCACTAAAATTATATTCGCTTATACTATTTTCTTACGAAACAATGGAAATAATATTTAGCTCGTATTCAAGGCTATTATCTTATCTTGCCCACATTTATATTTTTGATTAATTATTATTATTATTTATTATAATTATTATAATTATTAGTAAGTTTGATAATCGTTTTTCGAGCAACTGACCAAAAAAATATATAAGAATGCGAAAAAGGGGGTGGTGGTGATGGTGGTGGTGGTGGTGGAATGGGGAAAGAAATGGGGTTGTGTGGTAGACGAACAATTTTGCGAGTAAAACTGACCAATCGGATGGAAGAATCGAATCGGCCAACCGCTGGCTCAGCACGTGTCCTTTCTTTCATTCTTTCACTGATTATTTCCCTTTTATTTTACCCTCATTTATGGGGTTTTTTTCTTCATATATTTGTATTTTTTTTCTTTCTTTCTTTTACTTCGATTTACTCGGTAAAAAGGTTTTGTGCGCATCATCGAAATGAACAGAGACGAAGGAAGAAGAATTGCATAAGCGTTTGTACATTATTTAGAAACAAAAATTTGTTCTAACAATTCAGTATACGTTTCGTTTCATTCGTTTAAGAATAATTTCCATAATAATTATCAATTTGTTTATTCGTACATATCTTTCATAAATTCTAAATGAAATAAATCTATAATCAATCTCGTAATATATAAATTTTCAAATGAATCTAATAGAAAATAAAACGATATATCACACATTTTTCACGTAACTTTTATTATTTGATTAATGGACAAAGAAAACAAAAGGAATGTGAAATATTGAATGTGAACGATGATTAAAACGAGTTTTTTTATTTTTTTAAGAGACGAGTTAAAAAGTGAACGAGTAAAAGGGTACCACGGTAATCGTAAATTTTATCAGGCATTTGAAAATTCATTTTCTTACCATTAAAATATTATCGAGACTATCGTAACACGTCGACGAGACCACCTAAGTATATAATGTATGCTAATCAAAAAGGAAGAACACACAAAAAAAATAATAATAATAATAATAACGCGTATTCATTCTTACGAAAGTATTTAATAATAAATTCATTTTCATTATAATTATTGCTAGAAAACATTTTTATTTGTCGTTTGTATTCGCTTCGCATAAACTCGTTAAATAAGTCGTAGAAACAAATATGCGTATATAGGAAGTATAGTAATCTAAATATATTGGTTTACACGTGCATAAACGAGCATCCTCGTGTAAAAATCTGTACGCTTTGGCGAAACTTTACACGCTTTTGTTGTTACGCTTCGTCGGTGGCCATTGCATCGAGAACAAATCATTTCACAAAAACGTGACACTCCAATAGAACACGTTATTACAGAAAAAGAGAAAAATAAAGAAACGGAATGAGAAAATGGAAGGAAGGAAGGAAGGATAAAAAGAACAACTGAACAAAAAAGTAGAACAGTAATGCACAGAAAATAGAATCATTTAAATCGTTTCATTGAAACTCACAAACGTAGTCATCCAAAACACCATGCACACCTATCAAACAAATATATTTATGCAAGTATGCAGCATCAAATGTACACAAACGTGTTCATACAAATATACAATGCACAAATTTTCATGCACACGTATCAAACAAATAGATTCATGCAAGTATACAGCATCAAATGTTACACAAATGTGTTCATACAAATATACAATGCACAAACTTTTATGCACACGTATCAATATATTCATGCAAGTATGCAGCATCAAACGTACACAAACTTGTTCATACAAATATCAATGCATAAACTTTTATGCACACGTATCAAACAAATAGATTCATGCAAGTATACAGCATCAAATGTTACACAAATGTGTTCATACAAATATACAATGCACAAACTTTTATGCACACGTATCAAACAAATATATTCATGCAATTATACACAATACAAACGTATACAGAAATATAAATGCATCTATATGCAATCGTTTATACTTTTATAAATTAACATACAAACTTTTTATGCATTCATAAGTAGAAATATATAGCACGAAGGGTTTAGTAATGATCGATCTTTCGATTGCAATGACGAACACGCGTTTATTTTTTTTCTTTTATATTTTTTTCTTGCCTGAACGAACGAAAGGGGTTGTTCAACCAACAATGGAGAATATCTGTCAGTTTCTTTTTATATTCATCGTTGCACCGTACGTATTTTCTGTCCTTATTTCTCACACAGTACTACGCTAATAACCGTAATTGCGCTTCCGCGTGCATAACCCTGCTAATTGATCGATGCATGAGTATTAGAAGGACCAATGTCCATTTCGTATTTTACCGTTAACTTCCACCCACCCCCTATATATATATGTAACACCATTTTACTTTGAAGTTAATATACTCGTATGCATATATGTGTGAGTGTATTCAAATTTATTATTTTCTAATTTACGACGATTAATTTTTTCTTTCACGTTTTGGATTAGAATTATTCAAAGTTCATTTTTTCACGACACGATGTATTCTTAACCCTTTGATTGCAACTTCAGTTAAAAGTATTCAACATACTCAAAGGGTTAAATTAGAAATGTGAAAAAAAAAAGTAAAAAAAAGAAAAGTAAAAGGAAGTAACGTTGACGAATAATAATTAACGAGACTAAAAATAATGAAAACAAGATATATGTTAGTAACAACCACGGATAAATAATGAATGAGTTAAATAATGATAAAGGTGTAATATTTTTCTTCTTCGTTTCTCTTTTTTTTTTTTTTTCTAACGCGAAGTAAGTTAAAAAAAAAGAAAAAGAAAAAAAACCGCGTAAGCGAAGAAGGCGCAAGAATAAAATCAGGAGGCGTTTAAGCGTACGGTGTTCCGAATAAAAGACGAGAATTTGTCGGACGTTCTTCGACGAATGGAACGATGCGTGACCGTCTCACGAACGTGATTTCTATAGTATCTTTGAATATATTATCACGAACACACACACACACACACACACTCGTTTATAAAGTATCTTTCATTTTCATGCACGTACCATCTATCTATTCGGATATTTCAACGAACCTACATACAAGCAAGCCTTTTAAAAACCGTAACGAAAGCATATGTGACTTATGCACGCACACACAGACACAGACATCAAACAATACCACATTTATTCACGATCCTTCAAAATTATATGTAAATACGTGTGTGTGTATGTGTCTCTCTCTCTCTCTCTCTCTCTCTCTCTCTCTCATTCTCACATTCGCATACTTTTAACGCATTCTTTTTATATGCTTTCTCATTATACTACTTAACAATTTGTTTTTTTTTTATTTATGCGCGTATGTATGTCACGTAATCAAAAATATTTTATTTAAATTGTTTTTTACGCGAAAAAAAAAACACCTTGTGCAAACGCGTGTATGTGCATCGTTAGAATTCGAATAATATATAATGAATTATAAAATTAATATCTTTGAAAAATGAATTATGCACTTTACATATGAACTTTCGTTACGCTTAAAGTGTATTCACGAATGTGTGTATGTGTGTGTGTTAATATAAAATATTGAATACTTCCAAGGTACACGTGATGATTCTCGTTTGAATTGAAATGAATGACCATTAGAAGA